GAACCAGAATTTTGAATGAAAAAATAACCAGAAATCATGCAAAATTGCCACTGTTATAAACCAAGTGGTTGAAGATGTCAGCAACTGCGACTTCATAGGTTTTAAAGGGTAAGTGTTGCTCTAACAGATAGTGAAAGAATCGGGTCGATTTGAGCAGTGGTCGCTGAGAACGAGAATTTTGAAAAATTAGGCGATTTTAGGCTAATTTTTGACTGCTGACATTTGAACTCCTAAAACTCTTGATTGTGAAGTTGTGTGATGTTGCGACTTTATAGGTTTTCTAGGGTAAGGTTTGCCCTACTAGAATATATCTTACCCGTACCAATTAATCAAAGCACCGCCGAGATCCAGGCTCTTGAAAAAGCAGGTAAAAAACAGCTTTTTGAACTTCAACAGCTCGTAACTTCTCCAGAACTGCATGAATCATGTTGCGACTTCATAGGTTAGATTCCTCTCATCAAGGGCTTTCAGATGATATATGATATATGGGGGTTTGGGGCCTTCTTCGACGTATGACCGGGGGGGAGACTTTTTAGGCCAAAGTCTCCCCCTCGCCCATTTTAATGTATTGGCTGGAGGCCGCCAGGGGAGACTTTGGCCTAAAAAGTCTCCCCCCCCCCCGGGCATATGCCGTAAGAGGCGCGAAACTCCCACATATTATATATCATCTGAAAGCTCTTGATAAGAAGAATTCAACCTATGAAGTCGCAACATGATTCATGCAGTTCTGGAGAAGTTACGAGCTGTTGAAGTTCAAAAAGCTGTTTTTTACCTGCTTTTTCAAGAGCCTGGATCTCAGCGGTGCTTTGATGAATTGGTACGGGTAAGATGTATTCTAGTAGGGCAAACCTTACCCTAGAAAACCTATGAAGTCGCAACATCACACAACTTCACAATCAAGAGTTTTAGGAGTTCAAATGTCAGCAGTCAAAAATTAGCCTAAAATCGCCTAATTTTTCAAAATTCTCGTTCTCAGCGACCACTGCTCAAATCGACCCGATTCTTTCACTATCTGTTAGAGCAACACTTACCCTTTAAAACCTATGAAGTCGCAGTTGCTGACATCTTCAACCACTTGGTTTATAACAGTGGCAATTTTGCATGATTTCTGGTTATTTTTTCATTCAAAATTCTGGTTCTCGGCAAATACTTCCTGGATCGACCTGCTTTCTTCGCAGTACGACATAACTAAATTTACTTAATAAAATCTGTAGAGTGTCGTTGAGTTTCACTTCAAAATACACCATTTTATTGACACGTTTATTTCGAATATTTATGCCGCTGTGTTCATCGTATCTGTGGCCCTAAAGAGGGCCGTTGGGTCGCAGTTATTGGCCCTAAAGAGGACCGTTGGGTTAGAGCTCTTCAGTTGTCCGAAGTCATCATGAAGCTTTGCTCTATCGTAGAAAGTGCTGAGGCGTATATGCGTCCATGCCGGTGATGACCTCCAGTTCTCGCAGAAGGCGACGGCGATTTCCTAAAAATAAACTACATAGAATATGCTCTCAATACTTTCTTTTGCGTTCGTTTTGCTGAATTTCCTTTTTTTTAGTTTCAGCAAAAAAATCAATACCCAAAAGTCCGAAAAAAACCCAAAAAACCCAGTTCAAAGTCCGTCCTGTGCCCCCCCCCTCTCTACCCCCACCACCGGTCAACGTTTTTGAGAGGTGAGTGTCCGGCACTACCACCTTCATTTTTGCTGCCCTGTGGTAGCTGCGACCCCCCCCCCCCCCCGGTCGACATTTTTGGGAGGTGAGTGTCCGGCACTACCACCTTCACTTTTGGCAGCCGGTGGTAGCAGGGACCACCTTCACTTTTGGGGGACCCGGCTCCCCCTATCGCACCTCTGGCTCCTATGCTTCATAGATCTTTGATTATGCTTACTGTACTATACGATAATGGGTCAAACATCAACGTGTAGTACTTTCCATGCCGGGCCTATTTGACATTGTTAACGAATACATTGCGAACAGAGAACTCCTTGATAACGACCCCCCCTTACTAATTCCTCAATACGACCCCCCAGGTGTGGCATGCCACACCCCACGCTTGACCCTAGTCATGTTTCTATATTTGTAATAAAAGCGGGAGCTATTTTGACTACTCCGGGGCTGGGGAATTTTCAAAGCCGTAGAACTCTCTCGAACTTGGTTCATGGGAGTTTGAATGATGATCACCAATATCACATTTCCTCGACCTAAACGCCTTTCTCGATTGTTAAGATAGGTATATCGATGAGTGAAAACCTCAGATTTGCTCAAAACTTCGTGTAGGAAGGCTGACCAGCATCCCGATCACAGTTACGCTCGAGTATATTTTCCGTTTGATATAGTGTGCTTGCAGTGAAGGTGAACTGTGGTAAAATTTGCACGTAAACAATTATTAGCTACGTCCGTAACGCCGGCCAATTGCGCGCGCAAAATACTGGCATTACCGGCGTAGCTATAGTCCCCTCCACAGATCGTGCTACAGTTGGTCTGCGTCTCAGACCCTGCCACGTGTGGCTAACATGTTGGCAACGTGGCAACAACATCTTTGCAACATGCCTCAACTTGTTGGCAGAACATTTTGGCCACGCCAACATGTTGCTGCATGTTGCCAACGTGTTACTGCCAACGCTGCCAATGTGTTAGTCACACATGGCACGTCCGCGACGCCACAAGGGTAGCACGATCTGTGGAGGGGACGATACCTGTTCACGCGCAAATTTTACCGCATTTCACCTTCAGTGCAACACACTATACTAAGCGAAAAATCTACCCGACTGTATGAACTCGGATGTGATTGAGTGTTTCTGCTCGAGTTAAGTGGATGCGCTCCGTCAGCCGTATACCCGCTGTAACATCAGAGAATCGCGCTTGCTTGCAATGAGAACACGGATATGCTGCATTTCCATAGACTAAAAAGTAACCAAATATTTGATTTTGACACTCGTGGCATGAACAGGCCTTGTAAACCCTAAACCCTACTTGCCTGCGCCGTGCCTTGAACAGCAGCATAAGAGAGCGTTGTCGCCAACGATTGTAGGCATTCACTATCCTTCAAAAAATTTTCTGTCAACTTTCGTGTTGGTTTCAACATTGTACGGTAGGTTCAACGAAAACTTCCATCAAAAGTTGAAGAAAATACGTGTGAAAGGGGTGCGCGCTCACTGTCGCTTGTGACAAGTTTATGGCGCTTCGGAACCCAACGTTTTCAGCCGCCCCGCGTTGGTGTTCAAAGCTTCGCTTGAGCAGTTGTTTGAAAGGCCTGTACATTCCTACCATAACCATACAGGGAGGCTTTCCGTTTTTCAAAATAGCGAAAGTTTGTTTCCTAATTCCTCTTGTATTCTCCTTCCAGCGACGAGCGAGTATTCCTTAGAAAAGCGATCTTCTCAGCTTAAAAACGAACCGCGCGAAGGTTCTGTCGCTCGCGATGTCGCGATGCCGCGCCGATTTGCATTGATTACTGTTTGCCACTGCTCGACTCGAATAAATTAAGCTGGCAGATTACCAAAAATGTATTTTGGACAGTAGACTTGTGCCTCTACGATGGCATTCTTGGGCCCCCGCCAGAGTACCGAAGCCACACCAGCGCTACGCCGGCGCCGAGCCAGCGTTTCGATCGATACACGTGTATTTCGTTGGGGCGGGGCCCTGGCTGAGAACTAGGTCAGCTAGCCCCGCCCCAACGAAATACACGTGTATCGATCGAAACGCTGGCTCGGCGCCGGCGTAGCGCTGGCGTGGCTTCGGCACTCTGGCATGGGCCTTATATCGGAAGGAGACCGATTAAAGGAAGCAGGAGACAGTTGCAAAGTAGGTGATGCGTCTTTTGCAGCACTGGTCCAAAACGTGGTAAAGGGACGCGGGTGCGAACTTGGATAGCATCGTGAAAAAGGAACTGCTGGTTTCAACCAATACCCTTTTTGCCGGGAAAAATTGGTGCTTTCAACAAGATAAGGCACCTGCGCACAACGCCAAAGTTGTTCAAGCATGGCTCCAAAGCAAAGTTGAAGCTTCATTATTTCTGCAGAATGGCCTCCGCCGCCCAACTACAGCGTTTGCTCGATTATTGAGGCCAAAGAATGTTATCCACGCAAGCCCGGGTAGTCTTTAAATGTGCTTTCCAAAAAATGCATGGGAGAAAATCACGTGGAATAATACCGTGCTACCGCGAAGCTTACCCAAGCGTTTTTGTGCCTGCGTTTTTGTTGAAGAATGGTCGAAAAAGCTCTTTTTACGTAATGAACTGTCAAGCAAACATTATCTATTGATGTTATACTATTATATAATCTCGCCTAGTCTCGTAATTACGAATCTTTTGTTCACTTTCCTCCCACGCTGTACCTTGACCAGCCTTCGCTCTGCTATGCAGCGGCTGGATATATATAACTCCGAAGAGGCTGGAACGAAATTTTCAAACGATCGCACTCAACATTCTAGGATTTTGCTATGTGCAAAACAGCATTAACCCGTCTCCCAGCTGAATACATCTTGCCACCAAAATCTGCTTTTCACGGTAACCTATGATCATGAAAATTTTCGAATGGTTGCAGCAATGCCCCGGCAGATTCACGCCATGGGGGATATAAGAGTGCGGCTGGTTGATGTCCCCCCCCCCCGAGAAAATAACCCCCGAACCGGCGCGCGATCGCACGGATTTGCTTGCCTGTTCTGCGCGGGACCCCACGACCACTCCCGCATTGCGCATGCTATCCAAAGCAAAATACGGGCGGCAGGGTCTTCGCGGGGCCTCCCTACTTTCCATTGAAAATCTCGTCTGAGCTGTTTTCTTGGGATTGGGTGGACGTCCCAAAATCGGCCTTTCCGCCCGTTCAAAGCTCAAGTTCCGGTTCTAGGTGTCGAGAAGGCCTAAAGCATGCAGAAAGATGGAAGTGCAAAATCTGCCGGGACGCTGTCTTTAAGCTCGAACCCTGCCTATTCCAAACAGTGCATTGCATGATAAATGGTCAACAGAACTACATGGCTTTCATAGAACTCATTTATTAACAACAACGTCGTAAGGGTTCCTCTAGAAGCGACGAACGCTATCGCTTCACGTATGCAACAATGAAACAACGAAAATAACAAAATAGAGCAATGTAATACGGAACCTAGAACTCAATAAGCTATGAAAATCCTATATCAGATCGACGCTAGTGCTGCTACGCTCTCATGCATATATAGATACATGTGAACTTGCGTGAGTGCGCAAGCATTTAGTCACTATTTATCAGGCTGATTCATTTTTTGCAAAGCGGCTTCGTCAGTCTGGGATATTGTTGTCAGACGTTTTCCCAACTTCTCGTGTACATCTAAGTATTTGGCGACGCACCGGTCTAAACACACAGCTTCGCCCTGCAAATCAGCGATAGATAACCTTTAACAAATACTTGGGAACCTCACTTTTGTTAATTCTCCCTCTTTGAAAGTATTGGCGATGCATTTTTCTTGACAAGCTGTTGTCATTCGCCGATACATATCTGACATCATCTCCATTTCTAATTCCGCAACCATTTGCATTTGCTGTTCTGTCGCCATTTTGTTCTACAACTCGAGCAAAGTCAAGCGATAGGAGTCAGTTACACAAAGATAAAGCGACAAAACTGATTAAGCAAGACAAAGAATACGTTGAAAACGACTCAAATGCAGTAGAAAACCGATACTAATAATGTTTATCAATGACATGGTAAAAACTTTACAAACAATCAATACATGTATACACGGAAAAATTCGTAGCTGCATCGAACCTGAATAAGAAAATAAAATAAAAACGCCAAAGATCTCAAAGTTAAGAAACTGACACTAGGTACATACCTGAGTGCGGAAACGCGAGGTCCGTAGTAGTTCATTATGTACTGTGAGCCATCTGCAGGTTGAAGAAGCTGCAGAGCGATAAGCACAACGTCTATTAACCACAGTACGAAAAGTCCCCCCAAAGAGAACATTTTTATGATACCTATAATATTATAAGATATGTAAATTGGCACATTGCCTCTACAACGATTGACTCAATAGATAACGCAAGATATTTGTAAAATTATAGATTTACCTATAGCATAGTATCCTAGGTACAATCTGTCGATTCCAAGAAACCCAAAGAAAATAGAAAGCAGCAAAGCTGTTGAGTGATGAAGGTGAGCACGATAGCTACAGGCATTCGGCACCTAAACCGCTGCATTAAAACCGATGGTTCAAACTGCATATTCATAAATGAACTTCTGGAAGCTCAGCTGCAGCTGCCAAGCAAAAACCTTGAAAACATAATCTATAGTAAAGAGATAAGGATAGCCGTGTACTGTTGATTTCTGTTGTGATCTAGTTGCGATTTTCTGTCACAATTTAATGACATAATGCTGTGAAGTGACGCAGCGCTGTGAATTTATTGCATGATTACAACTGCAATGCAGCTCTTCCGAGGTTTAATTGTCATAGAAGAGCAAAGAATGAATTTGTTTAGAAAAAACGCGCCAAAGCAGCGCAAATGGCAGCGACGGCACTTAGGAAGTATGCAGGACAAACTATACGCTACCTGCATATGAATCTGTAAGGCACCCGACAGATTTCCTGAAAAGCGCGCAGAAACGCATTAATTTCTCTGCTTTCTTCACGTTTCTCACTTCGCGTCCCGCTAGCACTCGCGCATCAAGGAAAGTGCTGGTGCTTCTAGGCTTGCGCGTGAGGAGAGGAAAGAAAATTGAAGAAAAATCAAAAAGATTTTTTTTGAGTGCTGTTGAACGAAGTCTGACGGGTGCCTGAGCACAAACTTAGGAAAAACCAAGGTTCCAAAAGTAGCCATAAGATTTCTTTCCAAAAGATGCAAAAAACGCAGTTAAAACCATCGACCTCGAGTAATTTTATTTGTAGAAAATGAGCATTTTGGAACAAAGATGTAGCTTGCGCCAGACACTTCCATACACCTTTCCAAATGCAAAACGGCCTGCACTTAAATCTCCACCCTACAGGAGTTTTGGAAGTTTGCCTACGAGCCAAGATGGGTAGATCTAAAGAGTAAATAAGTAGCGATGCATTGGATTTGTCAAAGTTTGCCCTGAATCTAACATGAAAAATCAGTTCTTAATGCGAAAGCTCAAGGTTAGGCAATGCTATTTTATAAATCCCACCAGACTACTTGGACCGCTATTGATAATTATGACGAATATGATAATGACGGGAATTTCCGCATCACGAGTTTATATTGCTAAACGTAAGTACCGTTTCCAGACTGCAATGATTTAGAAGAATCACACTAACCGTGATGGTTCAGATTAGTAACGTTTGAATATCTACCTGCATTCCATAAGGCAGTGACCATACTTCGCTAAAAATCGCTCAAAAGCGCCGAAAAGTTTCAGAACGCTTCTCTTTCATGTGCGCACATATAACGCCAAAGCGTATTTGGAATACATTGTTCAATACTAAAACGACTACATTTATCTTCGCGGCGCGTGCTCCGCAGTAGGCAGTCCGGACTGCGGAGCACGCGTGTCAGTCCGTGCGGTCAACGAATCGACGTGTTTCAATGCGAACAGGATACAGTTGCGCTCATCCCCCCCCCCCCCCCCCGCTCTGTAACATCAAAGAAATGCACAAAGGCAAAGAATTTGCTGGCTGCAGTAAAGCATAACGTATACTGCGTAACATGTAAAGTAATCCGGTCCTCAACTAAACTAGTTAAAGCAGTTATAAATGAGAAAAATTGGGGTAGCAAATCGAATTAACTAGCAAAAACGAAGTAAGAATAAGTAGGTTGAGTAATTCTGACCTTCAAATAAAAATATCGAGTATTATTCTGCAGTCCACGGCAAGCAATTCCACTAGCGACCTGACACGTTACTGGAATAAGAATCTCACGTCCATAATGCAAAGGCTACTCTTCAGATAAAGCTAAGCTTGTTTAAAAAAGAGTACCTGTAACAGAATCATCTTCATTACAATTCACTGGTTGTTGAGTGTCAACACCGATTGCGGGAGGTTCACATTTATACCTGGAAGATCTCGCCTGGTCCAAAAGTTAAGAATCTATGCTTTATCTGTAGAAGAAGTAAATGCTGAAGCGTCTAATCTTTTTAGTTTTCTATGAGCGCGACATCAAACCCGTTGAAGGAAAAGTAGTCAGCAGCATTTCATTGGACAAGCGATTTCAAACATACTCATAATAATTTTTGAAGCTGGTTCGTGATTTTTGCTAACAAACTAGCTTCTGTTTTTGAGGGCTTTCAAGTATAAGCAGTTATAACAATAAACAACTCACTGAAAGCTCCTTAGAGACTGGCACTGCTTCAAAGACCGGGACGTTGAAAACTTACTAACACCAACATGTGAGTCTATCATAACGAGGAAGGAGCAGAAAAGTGCGCTAAGGTATAAAAATCTGACCATAGCATTGCACACTCCAACCTGCAAAGTAGATTCACTGAAGATATCAGGAAAACGAAAAAAAAACATGGCATTTGCGTCAGTGCAAAAGGGTCTTGAGATTCAAAAAATTCTACATGTATGGGATATGCTGCATCTCCCGAATTGTTCTTATATGAATCATCAACGTTGTTGTCTCTTGATCATTTTAACATGTCATCTTTGAATAAGCGCTTTCAATTCGCTGGAATTAAAATGTTGAAACGATCAAAAGGCAGCCAGGCCGATGGTTCACATGAATACTTCTCGGGGATGCACGATACATCAAACGACCATATATTATCGGGACCTTGCGTTGAAAGAGAAAAAAAAAATGCGAACTCAACAAAAATGGACGAGAGATGTGCTGGGTCAGAAAATCAATATGGAGCGCATTATTCACTCTTGTTGCCGGTGCCATTGGCGTCAGCAACATTGTAGACATGATGATTACTTTTGCTAAGTATGCATTATTTTATAGAACAGTTTGTATCTTTGATGGAGCCTTCTTTAGTACAGGTCATTTATGAAGTCGTGACGACGGATTTGGCTGCGGACTTTGCGCCCACAGGAGCATAGAATGCTCATACAAGAAGTTATCGCCTTAACGTTCAGCTCAGTCACTTCCAATATATAAACACTATCATATGTAAGCAAAAACCACCCAATCAGAGATGAAAACCAAGAAAATGCGATTTCCGGAAGTGGTGTGCGTTAGCGAGGTCGCGGTCGTCGTCACGATTTTTCGAATGTACTATACAACTATTGTAATCGTTCTATATGTAATTGGTAGCAGAACTCAACTATAGTGCGCCATTGTGCTTGAGTCTCGAGAATCTATAAAAAAGAATGTTTAATCAGGCATATCACGACACAAAAAAATATCATTCAGAAGGGCAATATGGCGCGTAAGTGCCGGACACACTCAGTTGTGTCACTATATGGTGATTCATGTGATAAGATTCAAGTGTGTATTTATGACTCGCTATAACAATTCACTCATGACTTTTTCAACGTTTTCTTAAACAATTTACGACAGGGCTACCTACCCGAAGCCACGGCAAAAATTCTCTAAAGTTCCACATATAGCCTATTGGGTTTGAAGCCCAAAGTAGTGTTTTTGCGTTGGTGACAACACCTGCGCAGAAAAGGTCATATCAAGGTAACGACAACATTTGTGCGTGGAAACGGCCATCAGCGTACATTTCAAGTCTTGCGACCAGGGTAAAGCGGGGGGTGCGGCACGCCGCAGGGAGGGGGGGGGGGGGTCGTTAGGGGGGGGGGTAGGTAGGGGGGGGGTCGTATCGACCCAAGGTCAAAAGCACTTGTACAAGCTGTGTGACTAAATTGACTTGATGAAAGCGCTGTTGAAATTCTGCAAAATTCAAGTTCAACGACACAAACTTGCAGATACCGTATGCCTACCGTAACCTACCTTACCCCTAATCAAGCATAATTGTCGTAATCCGCGTGTCGAATAACCCCTATGTGCCAAGTTTCAGCGAACTCTGAGGTCTCCGAGCAGTAAACAACCTTGTATAAAGCAGTAATTTAAAACATGATTAACTTCATCTTAACGGTGAGTAAGCTACCTCTTCTTGCACTCAATACAAAGCACTATTCCTTCGTTGTCCACCTCAGGAATCCCGCTTCAGAAGACCTCCAAACTATTGAATTAGAAGCCAACCAAAATCTCGTTTTTCCCATTTTTCGCTTTTGATCGCTGTGCTTTCACCAAATATTACTCAGAGCTAAGAAGACGAATCAGGCTCAAAACATCCCTATGGAATCTACGAGGTTAAGGCTATTGATTCATTTAAATATTGTCCTCTAAAAACGTTTTTTTTATATAGTCAATGGTCTGCGGCACCCCCCCCCCCCTCAAAACCTGCGGCTGCCGCAGGTTTTGAGGGGGGGGGGGGTGCCGCAGGCCATTAACTATATCAAAAAAACATTTTTAGCGGACAGTATTTATATGGATCGATAGCCTAGATCACCTAGTTTTCACAGGAGTGATTTGAGCCTGATTCGTCTTCTTAGCTCTGAGTAATATTTGGTGAAAGCACAGCGATCAAAAGCGAAAAATGGGAAAAACGAGATTTTGGTTGGCTTCTAATTCCACAGTTTGGAGGTCTTCTGAAGCGGGATTCCTGAGGTGGACAAAGAAGGAGTAGTGCTTTGTCTTGAGTGCGAAAACGGATAGCTAATTTACCTTTGAAACAAAGTTAACCATGTTGGAACTTGACCATTTCACTTAGGTAGCCTAGTATCTTGAATCTTCAGAATTCGCTCAAACTTTGTCTACAGGGGTTAATTGACATGCTCATTATGGATATGATGCCCATTATGTTTGACAGGGCCTCCAAGTAATGCTATCTTAAGGGTATAGTCCAGGGGGGGGTCTTATTAAGACAGCAATCAGGGGGGGGGGGTCGTAACCAGCGATCGTGTGCCACACCCCTTGCTTGACCCTGCTTGCGACCGTAATGCTGATAGCATTACAAGGCGAGCTTCAAAAGCGAAAAAGCCTCTGTAAGCTAGACGATAGAACGGCTTGATTAGGGATTGAGAACCTATTTCCAGCAATCTTGAACATCTCAAGAAAAGCAAAAATTGAATTTCCTTCGTCGTCCTTCTAGAATATTTCAAATAAGAATTAGAAGTGTGCTGTAAGTACGCATAGCTTTACAAAGGCATACAGTATCCTATCTAGTTTTGTGGTTTTTCTCTCCGAAACTGTCCAATAAAACAGAGCAAGGCTCTAGCTGCAACACTTTTGAGACGGTGACGTCTTCAAAATCAGATTCAAAGCTATTTCTGTGGTTCTCATTCCTTTTCATAATATGGTTGTTACTTTTAGATAGTACCATCATTGTTGTAGTCTTTCTTTTTTTCGAAGTTTAGATTTCGTTTATCATATTTTCTCAATATTTACATCTCCATGATGATCGATTGTATCAATTTGGCTAACAAATAATTTCGTTTTGACATGCAACTTCGAAACTCAATAAAAATTCAAGTAACTGTTATTAGATTACAATAATTGTGTACTGGTAGCTTCAAGCTTCTACTATCACATACTCATCACATAGAATTCTTAATCGCAATAAAAGACCGTCATGACCTTATATGGCTTCTTTTGCTTTCCTGCACGATTTCGGCATCAAAATAATTTTTGAGCAACCAAAGTTAACCATTCAATTCTGCTTGACTTATTTCGAATGGAAACAGACAATTACACACGATCTATGTGTGGCAATTCTACAAACCCTTAAAAACGACCAAAATTATTTTCAGCCAAACTAATATATCACGAGTGAATCGTCACTGTGTGATTCATGATAAGAAAGTTTGCACTTATAAATATCAAACATTCATGTTTTTTTTTGTCTTGTCACAGTGAAGTATGCCGGTGTTGAGGTGACGTGAAGATAAAATGTCAGACAAGATTATCACTAATGCAGTACGTGTCATTTATTTCAATGGAAGGACACAATGGGAAGGTACACAATTTGGACTCTTGGGAGATTTATTAATTTCGATCCTATTGTCATCCTTCATTATGCAATGTCGATTCAATCTAGGTTCTAGCCAATTAAGTGAGTTTGAAATTTTGTTTTTGTCCGCTGAGAACTTAAGCCTTTTTATGTCTTCATTCGAAGATTCTGGAATGTGTTAATAGGAAAGGAATAAAACATTTGAATCAGTTACCTGATTCTGACATCAATGTGACCTCTTGTAGATAAAAACTACCTTAGAAAGAATCATTGCAGCATACTCACCTATCGTAGTAGAAATAACTTTCAAAATGCACTCAATTCAAATTCATTCACATATCGATAGAAAATATAATAAGTTCAGTCAGAATTCCTAGGTAGATTTTGAGGGCGCTGGGGTAAAAAAGATTCTGGTATTGAGAAGGAATTTGCATTTCAACCTTTCACTGCAACTTATTTGATACTGAAGTCAACGCTCCGATATGGAACCTCCAATTGCATAAGGTGACGGATGCTGCGATGCTCATTAAGAAAACTATCCTAAGTTTGATTTTTTTCTCACTTACTTCTTAGGTTCAGCTATATCGTTCATATTGAAAACTTGTCAGTATCTAGCGTTGACTGTGGAAAAAGTAAGGAAAATGAGACTACGGGATGTCATGCATTTGTTGACCTACTATAAAACATCTACTATAGAATCAGTTCACAGAATAGAATATCCTGGATTTACTCGAAATCGTTTTGAATAAATAACAAGGGCGCTTGTTAGGAGAATTTATTACATAAAGTTCCGCCAACGCACTTTGCTTTCCACTATAAATATTGCATCCAAATTGCTATAAACCAAGATTTTTCCTTACATGAAATGGTAACAAGAACGGCCATGATGTACGTGTAGCAATTTTGCTCCTGGAATACACTTATCTATAACAAGTTAATAGTCCATCAACTAACTCTCAGTCGCCGATTCTTTTCCATTGTGTACCGGTTGATCAGATTTGTAACAAGGCCAAAAACATCATTTATAAGGTCAATCCAAAAGTAGTTTCACTTTTTTCAAACGGACGCCACGTATGATGGAACAAGGATTTTTAAGAGATCTTGGTAGCATTCAATGCAAAATTTCATCTTCTTCCTAAAAATTATAAAATTAGTGCAGCATAATTAATGGGCTTTTGGAAAATTACGAAAGTCTGCTTTTTTCTTCTTTCTTTTTTCTTTTGTCTTTCTTTTTTTTTGCTTCTTGAGATGCTCAACTTTTCTAAATTTGTATATCAATCCTCCGAGAGAGTCCAAGTAACGATTTGATAGAGCAAACCCTACAGGGTACAAATCCATTTTTTTCTCCTTCACATAACTTCTAAAAATTTTTTAATAGAATTTTGATTGATGCTACCAATCTCCATTCTTGGTCAACTCAAACATCGTAGAACATCAAACGCTTAGCAGCTAGAGTGTCTTTCGATGCAGCTTAATTTCCTCTTTCTTATGGATTTTTTTTGTTTCCCTTTCGTGGAGTTTTCGCGTACAAAAT